ATACACACACAATTCACGGGCGCAGACTTAAGAAATGTCTCCTCGCTGTGACTAAAATGTTCAGCTCTCTTCGAGTTTTATTCGCAAGATAAAAATGCCATTTCAAAAATGGAATTAAATGGAGGCACACCGATATATATATATATATATATATATATATATAGCTTATTACGTTCGAAATTCATATTACCGCTACAAAATGCATTAACGTTTCAATGCAGCGCAGCATCTCATCAGGTGGTGTTAAAATGTTAAAAGCTCATTTTAATACTGTCTGATGAGATGCTATGTTGCATCGAAGCAGTAATGCATATTTGTAACGGAAGTATGTTCGAATATAACAACCTATGTTAAAGCACTAACACACTACTTGTGTACTGAGCCCATTTTTTTTAAATGAATGTTATGAAAGTTTGAGTTTATATTTGATTTCGTTCTTATTGCATCATATACACGGACCAGATTATGATGTAATTATTAAAGGAAAAGAGAAAATTACCGTTTTGGTACATATTATTTTATTACGAATACTTTCAACATCAGCACAATGTCATCATCAGGGTATTATTTATTTGAAGAGAAAATTTGTAGTGTTTATCATTTTCAAAGACAAAATTGGTGTGTTCATCTGAAATTTAATTTTTTTTTTAATATGTGACAGGGTGCGGTTGATATACGTGGACTTCCGAAACGGTTCCCCTGAATATCGTGTACAGTACCATCAGCTTCAAACCTATCTCAAATTTGTAAGCTCTTGGTGTCATTATTAACGGAAGAGAGAAAATTACTGTGTTGATACATATTATTTTATTCCGAGTACTTTTGACATTAGCACAATGCTAATAAGAGTGTAACTTAATGAAAAACTATTCGATAACCCTTTTGAACTTCAACTGCATTTTCGTAATTCCAGTATTATTTCAGGATGAACATACATTGTTCAAATTTAAGCCTGAATTACATTATACTAGCGCATAAATCGAAAAAAAACGCAAGTTGATATTAACTATGTACTGTAAAAATATGTATTCATTTTTGGGACACACTGTGTATTTTCGATCCAGTCCAACCTCTATAAAATACGTTTTTATTCAGTTTGGATCGCTAATATTCGATTTGGGTTCGCATAGTTTTAGTTTTAAAATTAAATTGAAAAGATGAAACCAAACTTCATAGAACAGAGTTTGTCATTTACGTTCTTGTAGCTTTTTGGAAAATCTATAATCGTAGCGAAGTTATTTCCATGGAAAAGTGAAAACAGTCGCTTGATAGATTAGGGAAACGAGACAACAAAGAAACCTACAAACCTGTTGTGCTGTCAGGTTATCTACTAACAATTTTTTAAACCGCTACTAGGAGATTCTCACCGGATTATAAATACTCTGCGATAATTTGTTATCACCTTCTTCCGATCTTATCCGTCATGTAGCCTGTCGCGGAGAACGTGCTCACTTTGGGAAACGCATGAACAACACACACACACACGTACGTACATTCACTCACTACACATACTTTGGACCAATAAGTTTTTCACATTCATTTCACACACATACGCACACACATACACACATCTTTGTCTTAATCATTTGTAAACCTTTATTGATAATACATTATCATTTGTTATAGTTATATATTGGTTCTTGTCGTTTCTTTACATTTTTACGTAGACTCATATCCCGAGTCCGACATGTTTGTTGTAGATATTTCAGGAGATTGTGCGTTATTCCAAATTTCCAACATCGACGTTACTAACGCCCGAAAAAAGTTGGGAAGTGTAGTAACCGGCCCGCAACTGGGCTTTCAAAAAATATTTCCTTTTATTGAAGACAAATATGTAATTTTTTTTTATGTAACCCTTACAGTACAGATTATTAGACATCGTATATGAAAGAGGATAGCTAAATGATGATGTGGAGGTTGACTCGAAAAAAGCATTCTATCCAGCGATAAATTTTCCTAGAAACTTTGTTCTCATTACATTGAAATGTTAAATAGCTAGGTTTTCTGAGATAAATAGGAAAAAAATACATTCCAACTGGACAGTGGAGTAGGTTTAAACCAGTCACGATTCATATTTGTCTATTTTTCTTTACGCTTCGTTCTGAGATTTCTGGACTTCAGTATGATCTAGAAGTGTCAAATTCACCAACCTTAATCGTTGTTTCTGAGACATTTCAACCGTTTCTTTCCTACACGGATCCTAGAGCCGATGAGAGACAATTGGAAACTAATAAGTGCGCGCAGATTGTTTAGTAAAAAGAATGCCTATGCGAAATGGAAATAACTTCACTATGATGATAAATACTATAGTCGTTAAATTTAAAACGTCTTATATATATATATATATATATATATATATATATATAAGAATATATATATATATATATATATATGTTCAGAACGATAAGAATATATTAAAATCTTCAGGATAATATATTAATATTTTTTCGTTTTTATTATTTCATTTAGATTCCTCGACTAGTTTCGGCCCCATGGCCATCATCAAGAGAAAAACATTTCTGCATCTTAGTAGCAGTGAACTAGAGAAATGATGGAGGAAATGAACTTTATCTGTAGTTTTCATTTGTTTTCTTATTTTGTTATTTTTTAACATCAATTTAACAGTCTTTTTATGTTGTTATTTAAAATAAAAGCTGGATTGATTCATGCTGCTCTGAATTCCCTTGGTCGTTTTGTCAGTTTTATTGGTTCCCGGAAAGGGAATGTGTCTCTCTTATGTGTTTGTGTTATTTAGTTCTTAGAGAGTGAGTGAGCACGATATGTGTAAGTGTGTATATTAGTATATGTGTGTGTTATCATTTAGCTCATTAGGGCGTGAGTAAATATGATGTGTGTAAGTGTGTATATTAGTATGGGTGTATGTTTCAGTGTGAGACCTCAACACCTCCGCAAGCATGTCTGTCTTGTGTGAGTGAGAAATATGGGTAGGGCCTGATTTGTGAGGTTATATATTAATTCTATCTATGGTGTTAAATTTGTGATTAAGCCCGTCTGGATGGAGCATTTTATGCGCAGAATCTACTTATCTTCATGGGCTTCTAAAATCTTTCTAATTTTATTTGCTCTGAACTTTTCTATTTTCTCAATTATAGTGAATTTGGCATGGGTTTTAAAATCGTATTTTTGTACACACACACACACACACACACACACACACACACATATATATATATATATATATATATATATATATATATATATATATATATATATATATATATAATGATGAACGACCAGGGCATCAATTTGATATCGATATGAATACTGAATCGTTTTGTAATATGGGCCGTACTATATGGCCATGAATGCTGGAGATTTTTCGCACAGATGAAGATAGACTGGAGCCAGCAGAGATACAGTTGTACAGAAAGATGATCAGAATTGTATAGAATGATCATCAGGAACGAGGAGGTCTTTAAAAAATGGGGACAAAACGACACCTGTCTTTAGAATAAGACAGAGAGATAATTTAAATTTCTAGGACGCATAAGCTGGACAGATGGCTTGGAGAATTTGATACTCACAGGATATTCTGAATGTAAGAGATTCTGGAGGGTAAAACTGCGAATAACCTAAGGAGCTTGTGTAAATAAATGACTGAACATTGACAGGAAAGAATAACAAGAGAACAAACATTACTTAGAGTTACAAAGGTTAGGAAGTTGTGGAGAACCGTAACTGCCGTTTATTCCGAATGCCCACTGCAAATAAAGGTGGATTTGTCTGTTTGTTCAATGACATATAAACTCCTTATGGGTCATTTAATGCCGCCGATAAAGGGGAAGTAATTGAAGCCCATCGCCAGATAACATACCAACTGACCTCGAAGCAGGATATTATCCCCGTAGTGAATAAGTATGAAGCTTACTGAGTGTGTCATATATGAGAAATTGTTAGACTAAACATGGTCTGAGTACCACGCACTAGTAAGCCCACCTCGAACCACTTTACGGCTGTAGAGATTTTGATCTCCAGCGGGTGTCCCACTGATCTAACTACCTTGAATATAGATATATTTAATTCTACATTAACTTAAATATTCATTGGGCACCTGGCACTTGTGTGGCCATTTGCCAGACAAAGGAAAATTTAGTAAATACTTATAATAAGAGATGTGTTTGAAAGTATGTTACATGTGGCATGATTCACTATATCTCTGATGTACTTAATTATTGTCCGTGTGTGTGTGTGTGTGTGTGTGTGTGTGTGTGTGTGTGTGTGGTGAACTTGGTTATCGATTCGCGGTGATTCGCCCGCTGTAATTGATCAGATTTGGAAAGAGGGGTAGTGAGGTTAGAGAAAAACCTTTGAGGTGAAGTGGGTAGATCGTGGGTGTGTATACACGAGAATAAATTTAGACGATCAATCAAGCGTTTGTTTGGGATTTGTGGGGGTGGCCCTGTGTGGCTGATGGCGAATTGTAATTCTGCCTCAGGAGCTAGAGAAACACACCTAAAAAAGAATCAAATAAAATTGAGATTGATAAAAACAATCAATTGAAGAAGCAGATAGGAATAGGATGAAGAAGATCGGAATAAGAAGAAGAGGCTAAAAGAGAATTAGTCGAGTGGGAAAGGAGAAGGAGAAGAAATTAGAAGAAGCAAAGGAAGAAAAAATAGAAAAAAAGAGGATGTGGGAGCATAAAGCGAGTGAAAAGAGAAAAAGAAAGTAGAATAAAAAAGAAAAGAAGAAGAAGAAGAAGAAGAAGAAGAAGAAGAAGAGGCTAAAAGAGAATAAGGTGAGTGGGAAAGAAGAAGAAGAAATTAGAAGAAGCAAATGAAGAAAAAATAGAAAAAAGAGGATGTGGGAGCATAAAGCGAGTGAAAAAGAGAAAAAGAGAGTAGGAATAAAAAAAGAAAAGAAGAAGAAGAAGAAGAAATAGGAATAAGAAGAGGCTAAAAGAGAATAAGATGAGTGGGAAAGAAGAAGAAGAAATTAGAAGAAAATGAAGAAAAATAGAAAAAAGAGGATGTGAGAACATAAGGCGAGTGAAAAAGAGAAAAAGAGAGTAGGAATAAAAAAGAACAGAAAAAGAAGAAGAAGAAGAAGAAGAAGAAGAAAAATACGAATAAGAAGAGGCTAAAAGAGAATAAGGTGAGTGGGAAAGAAGAAGAAGAAATTAGAAGAAGAAAATGAAGAAAAAATAGAAAAAAGAGGATGTGAGAACATAAGGCGAGTGAAAAAGAGAAAAAGAGAGTAGGAATAAAAAAAGAATATAAGAAAGAGAAGAAGATAATAGGGACGACAACAAGAGGATAAAAGGCGAGTACACAAGAAGAAGAAGAAGAAGAAATAGGAATAAGAAGAGGCTAAAAGAGAATAAGGCGAAAGAAGAAGAAGAAATAAGAAGAAGTAAATGAAGAAAAAATAAGAGCATGTACGAAAATATGGTGTGTGAAAAAGATAAAAGAAAAAGGAGAGGAGGAATAAAAAAAAGAACATAAGAAAGAGTAAAGAAGAAAAGAGGAACAACAAGAAGAGGATAAGAGATAATAAGGCAAATAGGAAAGAAGAAGAAGAAAAAGAAGAAGGTGTGGGATAATAAAGATGAAAATTGGGAGAGTGAGAATAAAGAAAACAATAGAAGAAGAAGAAGAAAAGGGAGAAGAAGAAGAAGAAGAAGAAGAAATGGATAAGCAAGAATAGGAATACCAAAATATTATATCCACAGAGAAGACATCGAGTAAAAGATTAAAGGAAAGGTGGTAATGAAACCAAAAATATAAGAGAAGAAAGATGGAAGAAAAAAAGAATTAACATATAATCAACAAATGGATTTAATAAAAAAGACGATAGAAAAAAAACTATAGGGATAGAGAGAGAGAGTGAGAGAGACACAAGGGGAGTAATAAATCGAAAGAAAAGAAAAGGGAAAAACACGTAGGGGAAGGATAAAGTAAATGTGGGAAGAAATTTTTAAAAAAGAGTGAAAGCTTCTGAAGAAGAAGAAGAAGAAGAAGAAGAAGAAGAAGAAGAAGAAAGGATAGAATAAAAATAAATGGAAGGGGAAGAAGAGCGGTAAGAGGAAGACAATATGGTGAACTAAATTGAGAAACATCAATCAAAGAATTGATTGTTGTTAAAGCGGTAAGCAGATGTGGCTGACGGCAATTAGAGTGGCAAATTTTGGGAGAAGATGCGCTAAAAGCCTTCAAAGGGGATAAAAGGATGAAAAGAACGTGGAATTGGCGGAGAGAGGGGAGAGTAGTTAGGATAGGGAGGAGAAAGAAAGAAGAAGGTGGCGAGAGGAAGTAGTAGAAATACGAGAAGAAAAGAAAGGAATAGAAGGCGAAAAGAAGTAGAAAGAGGTATTAAGAAAAAAAAAAGGGGAAGAGAAGACTGTTTAAAAAAAAGAAAGTGACAAAAATGCTGAGAAGATGAAGAACAGAAAAAAGACGTAGGAAAGAAAAAGAGAAAAACGAGGGAGAAGAAAAGAGTGACATGGAAGAAGTAAAACAAGAAAAGAGAAATGACGAAAAAGAAAGGCAGAGGAAAATTAAAATAGCAAAAGGAGTAAAATGAAAGAAAATTGAAAAAGCATAGAAGGAATGAAAAAAAGAGGAAGATAGAGCAAAGAAAAACGGTAGACAAACGAAAGAAAAGCAGTAATCGGAATAAGAAAACGACTGAAAGAAAAACGAAGTCGGAAAAAGAAGACAAAAAAGGTACTGCAACGTGTATCCGACTCCATTCTAAAGAAGAATCTGAAAAGAAAAAGAAAAAGGAATGAGAGAAAAGATGAAGGTAAATGATCGAAAGAAAAAGAAGAAGAAGCAGAAGAAGAAGAAGAAGAAATTACAGATGAAACAGGAGCGTAAGTGAAGTGGGGTGTGTAGAAGGAGAAGAAAATGAGAAAAGAGCTTAAGAGAAGAAGAAGAAAGAAAGAAAGAAAGAAAGAAAAAAGAAAGAAAAAGTAGTTACTGATGAGACAGGTGAATAAAGGAAAGAAGGTGAAGAAGAGGGGGAGGAGGAAGATATTGATGTGGTATGAGGGCAAAAGAAAGAAGAAGGAGAAGGAGGAGGACGAAGAGACTCACAAGTTAGTGATGAGACAGGAGCTTGAAGGAAAAAGAAGAAGTAAAAGATCACGAAGAAGAAGAAATTACTAATGAGACAGGAGCGTAAAGAAAGAAAGAAAGAAAGAAAGAAAGAAGTACTTACTGATGAGACAACTGAATAAAGGAAAAAAGGTGAAGAAGAGGAGGAGGGGTAAGGTATTCATAGAATAAGAGGGCGAAGAAGAAGAAGAAGAAGTCGATAATAATAATAGCACTCTTATGCAAAAGAGCCACCATGAATGGATTTTGATAGATGTTGCGGCAACTTTGAATAAAAACACTGTGAGGGCGGAGCTTGAGAAAATGCAGGTTCATCAAGATCTGAGAGGGCAAAGCAGAGGAATGTAGCAGGCAGAAGTTCAAGCTTTCCCCTTTGAGGTTGGCCCATCCGAGACTATTTCCAGGAATCTTTCAGGTTTGCAAGACGCCTTGTGGATACCTGACATCATTAGCAGTGTGCAGTTGGCAACACTGACTGAAACATCTAATGTGCTGATGAACGTGTTGCTTCTCTAAGCTGTGGGTGGAGCTGCGATATTACCATCATCACCCGGTCGAAATATCTAAAAGTGTTGCTATGGCTGCAGTAAATTTGGGACCTCTAAAACCCTAATGGAGAGTACGGGTCTCACAGACGCACATTGCATAAAATTTAATTGTACTCTATTTTTTGAAGAGTAAAGTTGATAAAAATAAGAAATTATTTATGATTCAACCGAGTAGAAATTTAATTTTACACTGTAAGTCATGTCGACTCGCAAATGCCTGCTTATTCACATGTTAAGGGTTGAAATTACAAAAAGCCCAATGTAAAGTCTAAAGTAGAATTAGTCAGAATCTAAAGTGATCCATTTACAAACAAACCTATCCAGACGCAGTTTAGAAGAAATATAAAATATATCAGGGATTCAGAGTTGAACACCTTAAAGAAAGTAACGTTAACGAGAAAATCAAGAACCCAGGAGAAAAACAAATAAGAAAAAAAAAATCAAAAACAAAAACGAATGACATGGATGGCAAGTGAAATTCTCTCTCTCGAGAGAGAGAGAGAGAGAGAGACAGGGAGAGTAGATAACTCCAAGAAATGTCGAGGAATGAAACAAAAACATCAGGAAGCAACAAAAAAGGATGATGGTCTTCAGAACATCTAGACAAAACCCTTATGTTACTAATGGGGAAAAACAACAAGAGGTGTTTTCACGCTCCTCAAAACCTCTCAATAAGAGGCCCTGATATAGTTTATGGTCATACTCCTGACATGATATGACTTGATTAGTATATCAAATTGATAAATGATATATATGACAGTGGTGAAATCCTGGAGGAACAATGTTGATCTATTTTCATACAAAACAAACCAAACTAAATGCTAATTATTGCTAATTCATTCTGCCAAATAAACTCGGTGTTAATGATAATCCATCGAGCAGTCAGCTTTATAAACCATAAGACAAAGCTAATAACGTATTTTGCGGCTTACCAGAAGCATTTTGTTCCTAAAAATACCCTAAAAAATATGTGTGCGTCTTCCAAGACGAATGTATGGCATGGATGGTCACCTAAGTGGCTTGACTGATAGGGTCGTGAATTTGTATGTTGAGTCATTACCCTATAATGTTAGCTATTTAATTCAGTCTTTTATATGATATAACCTCTGTACTTAGCTGTTACGTGTATATCCAATACTATAAACCTTCCTGGAGCCGAGCCATAATCTTAAACATGCTCTATATACTAACAGCGGCGGGAGCCTTTCTGTTCTAGACGAATATGTTATTCCCATATAAACAAAATCGGTCGAGTGATTAATATAAACAATACGTGGCGCTAGTATGTGAGGGACGCATAGTGAATGTGGTGTTGTATGAGAATGACTTTTTTTCTTAGAAATTGCTCTCATGTATTAAGGTGTGTCTTCCAAACCGCAGCGTCTTGTAAGCCGGTAAGTACGGTAATTTAAATTTTAATAAATAGTGAATGTAACTTAAATATGTTGGAAATAATAGAAGCCCAAATTATTGCTTTGTTCAGGAAAAATAAATGCAATTTTCATGATGAGATTGGGATCAGATAGAGCAAAAATAGTATCGAAAGAGCTATATATATATATATATATATATATATATATATATAACATAGATATTCAGCAAATTGTAAATTTGACTGAATTTTATGATTGATTGATTGTTTGTTTTTTTACGTCTTATCATGCTTTACCGATTTCTTTTAATTGAGTTCCCCCCAAGCAAGGGAATACAGCCACAGAGACGCAAACTTGGTATGGAAGAGTCAGAAACAGGAACATTGGATAGAAGCGAGAACAGAGGAAGAGTAATCATAACGATTGACAATTCATTTAAATTTTTGCAAATTAAATTTGACTGGGAAGCATAAAACCAGAAGGGAGTCCCACATACGAGAAGTGCGACAGAGGAAACTGCTAGCATAGAATTTACGGTTACATCGACCGTAATTTGGTGAGACCTGTTCGCCAGTCTAGTGCTGGCGCTCAATTAAAATAAGAAAAAGAAAAGTCTATGTACCATCAAGAAGAGTTCACCCGAAGAATTACCATGAAAGTATTTATAGAAAAGGAAAAGGTAAGCAACATTAAGGGGGTGAGAAAATGAGTGAAGTCTAGACGCCAGATCGGGGCTAATGATATGCTGATTCTTCCTTAGAATTTATCTAGGAGTTATAGATAGATAGCAGGTGCACCGAGCTATATGTGGCAGCAATATTCTAAGCGTGGTCGAATGGTAGTCGTCTAGATAAGTAAGATAGACTCTGGAGAGCAAAACAGTCCAGCCCGACACAGTGAACCAACCTTTCTCACCTAGCAATGGATTTAATAGTCTTCCCATGTCATAACAGCCGAGAACATTAGCCCTAGAAGGTGCAGCGAGTCACTCTCCTGGAGGTCGAAAGCCAGAAAATATGTTTACATAGAAAGATGTTTTGGGAGATAATAACAATTTACTGATACAAGTCTTAATGTTTAACCCATAGCTGAGGAGAAGAGATGGATTCGTACCTTTCCCAAGCTTATTTGTGCGTAAGTGAATATTAAGAACCCAACTGGAATTGGAACTGATTATAGAAGGCGGGTGGTTGGAAGATGTGTGTATGTAGAGTGGTTTATCATTAGGTTTTCTATATGGTTTATATGTGCCTTTTGTTAGGTTGAAGGTAACATCTAGAAAATCTACTTCGTTTAGGTTAGTTTTTATATCTATGTCGAATCCATTATTTTTGAAAATCTTTATTATTGCTTTTCTAGTTTTGTCTGTGTTTTGTTTGTTACAGTTTCTTAAGATTATAAGACCGCCGTCCCTGTAGAGTCCTGTGTCATATCTATCTATCATTTTGCTTAGTTCGTGTAGTAAGTAAATACATATGATTTCGCATGTCTCTGCATCGTCAAAGCTTCCCATTGTAGTGTCAAATACACACGCTCTATCTCTGATATTGAGCACTTTATCCCATAAATATAGCACACCTTAAGACTATATTTCTTCATATTCTGCTCCTGGTAAACAGTAGAGCACTTCCAACCACCCGCCTTCTATAATCAAACAGATACCAAAATCGATTAACCGCAGGCTTTCCGACGATTCCTCCAATGAATCCATATTTAACAAAGCTAAGAAAGACTATGAAACAGCCCTAAAAGATAGCGGATTCCCAGCAACACTCACATACTCACCACAGAACACAAAAAAGGCCAACAGGAGAAGAAATATCATATGATTCAACACACCGTACAGTAAAAACCTAAAAACCTAAAAACAAACGTAGGAAAATATTGTGAACAGTACAATGCTTTCTAAGTATATCTGGGAAATTAAAAACAAAATGCACATCACAGCAAAAATATCTTGGAAAATAAGGAAAAGATCATCAGCCTACAACAACCAATCAAAACTTGCAAACTTTTGTTGGAGGAAAAAATAGCTATCATTACTTTCTCAGACCAAAATAAATTATTAAATAAAAAAGATCCGAGCCCATCTCAAAATGCAGACATGAAAACAAATTTTACTACGTTACTTAAAAAATTGAAAACGGAAAAATAAAAAATAAAAACAAATAAATAAACAAGTAAACAAAATAACAATAAAATAGGCAAAATTAATTAATCCAAACAAATTACCAAATCACACCTGTTAAAATAGACGAAATAGAATAATAATAATAATAACAAAAAAAAAGTAAAATAAAAAACCAACCCAAATAAATAAAGTAAATAAAAAAAACAAAGTAGCAATCCATTATGACCAAAATATTAGTTAAACTAAGATAATCAAAGATAACCAACCCAAATAAAAACTGTTCTCAAAAATAGTTAGAATAAACTAAACAACCAACCCCAAAACCGAATAAATTGCTTTAATTAAATCTCAAACAAAAACAAACTATTAAATAAGATAAAACAAATTTTACTACGTTAATAAAAACACCGATTAAAAAAAATAAGTAAAAAATAAATAAATAAAAAATAAGAAACAAAAAAAAAAAATTAAATAAAAACAAGTAAAATAATTTAACCCAAATAAATAAATAAACGACTTCCGGTAAAATAACCATAATAGACTACCCACAATTCACCACTGGCCCGTATATGTATAAATAGCCGAGAAAATAACAGCACACGGCCTGACGATTTCATATAACATGAAACAGACTGTCACCTCTAAGTGTTTTACTTCTATGTTCAAATATATATATATATATATATATATATATATATATATATATATCGTATGTCCAGAAATCGCTTTCTGTCTGCAATCCGTCTAGTCTCGCCGAAGCCTAGAAAAGCAGTGGCCTCCCACGTCCACTCGCCGGGTTTTTAATCGGTAGCGGGTTCTCTTATGCAAATAAGTCTGCTGCATAAAATGGCAGTAGGCGCACGCGCGACCGACTCTCAGAGAATGGTTCGACACGCGAGGCAACGAATTCGCTTTGCTCCTGGTAAGTCACTGTCACCCTATTACACTCCCCCTGATCGTATGATCACATAAGTGACAGTGAGGGGCTGGTCGTTTCACCCTTGCACTTCTTCGCGGTGGTATAACCATGACTTCCTCCCCGGCTGAATCGTCAGATGTGTCCTGGTCTGAATCATATTCCGGGGATCATTAAGGTTCAAGTCTACTTCTTTCTCGCTTTCAGATGAGGTGTCGCTGCTGCTTGCACTGGAGCTTGGTTCTTGCCATTCATTACTCCCCTGACGTTGTGTCACCGCCATCATCCGTTGGTAACAATGAAGTGAGCTGTGGACGTACATCTCCCACGTGTCGCGGTATCCCGTCGATGACTACAGACTGCGGACTGTTTATTCCCGTGACACGACCTTTCACAAACTTTGACGTGCAGCGTCCGTGCGGATTTTTTACCCAAACTGCGTCTCCTTCTTTATACCGAGTCGAAGTCGCCCGGTTAGGCGAGGGCACAATGTCAATTCCTTTTATTCGAATTCTGTACGAATGCAGCAGATTGGCGGGTACAGAAGAGGCAGACACATCATCCCTGGGTGTAATGTTATACCAATACACGGCCTCCATAATAGAGCAGCTCTTTCGCGCAGCAATCCGTTTGATTGTCCGATGACACCTCTCTACAATACCATTTCCAGATGGTTTGTACGCGCAGCGCGGTCGGAATCGGACGCCCCATTCTTCCATGAATTGTTTAAATTGCTGACTGCGGAATGCAGTGTCATTATCAGCCAGGATTTCTACCGGGGCACCACGTTCGAAAAACACCGACTCCAATTGCCGGATTACGTGTGCAGCGTCTTGCCGAACTAGTGGTCGCCAGATCGAAAAACCGTGTGGGGCCGCAATCGATCAGAGTCAAAAAATGGCGACCGTTATAGTGTGTAATGTCCATTCCCAGACGACTCCAAGTTTCACGCACACTGAGCTCTCCCTTCTGCCATCGCACAGAAGCTGGATCTATTGACTGACACTGTTCACAACTTCGAACGACCGATCTTACTGCTGCTTTCGACACGGACGGGTTGATCCTACGTGCGAAATATAGTGTCCGTTTAACTCCAGGGTGCCCGCTGTGTCGATGAATCTCAGTTAACTGAGCAAGGCTC